AGTTGTGTTTAGGGTTGATTCATCCGAAAATGCATCCAGGTTCGTTTTGGGTACTATCTTTTTAGGGCGGGAGTTTCATCTGTGACCATTCGTGTTATTTTTTCCCAGTTGATTGTGACTGATGATTCCGTGAAACTTTCATCAAACACATGAAAACACCCTTTGCAGTGACCGTACCCGTTATTTTTTTACCAAACATATTATCGAGACCCTTGTTGATTACGAGTGGCATATTTTCCCCCCACTCATCCCCAGACCTGATGTACTCGAACTCCTTGGTCACAACCACAGTCGTCCTTTCCCCACTATCACCCCGCTGCCCTCTCCCCCGCCTCACGCCATTCCACGTCTTTCCACTCCCGCCATTCTTCCGCCACTCGCGCGCGCTTTTCGCCAACCATCTGCGCTCGCGTGCGCCGATCCCGATCCTTAAATCTCTAGCTCTTTCCGAAGCTCCAGGATGAGCGGCAAGGCGGCGGTGCAGCGGGCGTTCAAGGCGATCGACTGGGAGAAGCTGAGTCGCGTGGTGGTGAGCGAGGAGGGCAAGCGCGAGATGGCCGCGCTCAAGCGCGCGCACGACGAGGTGTCGCACACGCTCAACACGAAGTTTAACGAGGTCCGGTTACCTGGTGTAGTGTGCAAATGCGATCTCTGCGTTACTCAGGCGCCGGTAGATGTTGGGAGGAGGTGTCGCACACGCCCAATACGAAGTTCAACGAAAGCATGTTTGATAACGGAGGATCTTCGCTATAGGACCAAACAGGCCCTAAATTTACATTTCATCGTTCTCGCCTCATGAAGCCGCAAGACGCGTATATCCTCGTGACCAGGCTGCGAAAACCGTGAACCTCGCTACGGCAGGTAAGGTGGCTACGGTCGCTCAGGCCAGTAGCGGCAGTAGGATCATTAAGATCAGTCGGATCTCTGCTTTTGTTCTGCGACGCCGTGGCTTCATGCGCCGCTGTCTCTTCGTGCGATGCTGTGGCTTCATGCGACGCTGTGGCCGCATGCAATCTGCTGAACTGATGTTTTTTTGCACGTAACCCTAACAGCTGTAACTTGTGCACAGCCCGTCGTCAGCGTTGTATATCTATCTGGGGAGGGGGGGTTGAGGGGGTAGAGGGGGGGGGGGGGGGGGCTAACTGGAATGGCCAACGGCAGTGCATTCAGTACCCTTGTGATCGCCCTTGTTGTGACCACAGGGGTGGAATGGTTGCACCCCTCCCATCGTGCTCATTCCCGGTTCCCGGTTCCAATTCCCTGCAGTGCAGCCTTCCAGGCGAGCAGAAGAAAGTGGCGATTGGCTGGGCTCTGTACCGCTCCGAGGCGACTATTGAGTCGATTGCCAGTCATCCTTCTTCTCCTCATTCCCCATGTTTCGCATCTCTGTCATCTCACCCCTCTCACCCCTCGGTCCATGCAAGCAGAAAGTGGTGGAGATCGACTGGGCGCTGTACCGCTCCAAGCTCAACCCCAAGATTGTTGACATGTTCGAGCAGTCGTACAAGAGTGAGTCTCTTGGTGACTTTTGAGTCGACCCAAAAGTCGATTGTTTGACATGTTCGAGCAGTCGTACAAGAGTGGGTCTCTTGCTTGGCCTTGCATTGTGTGTGGGAGGAATTGTATGGTAGAAAAGGGGATGGTAGGGGGGAGGATGGGGATGCGAGAATGATGAGGGGGGTTGACTGATCATGGGTAGGATAGGATCATTCACTGAACGAGCTGTTTCTTCTTCTCCGCTCTCGTCCCCTTTTCCTCTCTTCTTTTGTTCTCTGTGTGTGGGGGGTGTGGCGGGGGATGTGGGGTTGGGGCGAGCAGGCATTGAGATTCCGGACTATGTGGACACGCTCACTCCTGAGTTTGAGAAGGAGCATCAGCAGCTCGTGAGCATCCTACCCCACGCTCCCCCACACGCCCACTCCCGACTCTGCTTTTGCATGGCCACCCTGACCCACGCTTCCTGGCACCCTGCCATTGCATGCCCTTGACACTCCCCCACCTCCCCCCCAGCCCACTCCACACTCTGCTTTTGCATGCGCATCCCTGCCCCACCCTGCTCCACACTCTGCTACTGCACCCCCTTCGCCACCGCACAAACATATCCACTTTTGCATGTATGCCGTGCTGCTTTCCGCCACATGCCTCTTGTGTCACTCCATGTCCTGATTCACATCTCCTGCATGACATATGTGTGTGTGTTTGGGGTGAAGGGGGAGGAGGGGGGAGCGTGGGCCATGGGTTGGTGTACGATTTGAGTGTGCATGTGTGTGTGTGCATGTGTGTATGTGTGTGTGCTTGTGTGTATGTGGGTGTGCGTGCTTGCATGTGTGTGTGCGTGCGTGCATGTGTGTGTGTGTGTGTGTGTGTGTGTGCACCTATGGTTATTGTCGCAGGTGGCCAAGGCAGCGGAGGAGGAGGAGGTATCAAAGCATGAGGCAGCTCGTCTTAAAGCCGAGATAGAGAAGATCCGAGCGCAGAAGGTGTGTGCACTTGCCGCCCATTTCTTGTGCCCCTTTTCACTTAACCCCTCTGGCACTGAAACTTGAGATGTCAATGCTTTGTGCTATGCTTGCTCGCTGGGTAGATCTCTGCTCTGCTTATGCCCGGTTTCTACCTTTATCTCCGCTTTTCCCTGTATAAACTCCAAATTTCTGCACCATGCATGTGTCATGTCCTGTTGTCGCCTGATATCATTGTGCCAATTGCGAGTCGCAGGATGCACTGAAGACAATGACAGTGGATGAGTATCTGGCCAAGAACCCCAAGCTCAAGGAGAAGTTTGATGAGGAGATTCGCAACCACAACTGGGGCTATTGAGAAATTGAGACTGCAGAGACAAAAATTGCATCTGGTTCAGCAACGCTACATAGGTCACCCATTTCGTTGTAACCATGCTTGTCAATATGATTTTTATGCGTGATAATTTAGGGTTTCAAGGCACCAGAATCTATAAAGAAATGCATAAAATGGGGAATACACTTTATTTTACTGATTGTATTTGTGTAGATCTACATGTGCTACTTATGCAGTATTGTCGCCGAGGAACAGTCGTTCGTTCACCCATGGCGAGCTATCGCAGCTCCGCGTATCCATTCCCGAGGCGGGGAGGAGCCATCGCAACCAATCTCAAGGGCACACAAGTCAGTCAGCCTCATCATCAGTCAGTCATGATGGCAGATTGAAGCGTCCACTTCATTTTTCACTGCAGTCACGCCTTCTGCTGCTGATGCTAGGAGGAGTGAGACTGTGAGATCTGCCTGACACTGTCACCTCGCTCCGCCTAGGCTCTGATTCTGTTTTTTTTCTGTCCAGAAGCAAGAGTCGCTTAGGAAAGCTCCGCCAGACCCGCCGCTCGCGTATCTGGTTCTCTGGCAATCACTAGGGTTGTTGCTTCGCACAAGTTTAACTAGGATTTTTATAGTATTTTTTTGTTCTCCTTTCTATCCAAGGCTGAAATGCAGTTTCGGTAGCTCATCCCTCACTTACTCTGACCATGAAGAATTATGCACGTCAGCAGGCTTATTATGTCGTGCCTGCTTGACTCGCATCGCTACTTGCCGTGATCTGCTTCTCGACTGTTGGTGTTGCAGCTTCCGATGGCGTGCCTGCTAGCCTCCTCGTACAAGCACATTCCTCACGTTGTACATTCCTCGCCCGTTACAAGCACATCCGTTTCGAAACCCCCGAGCGCTCCTCATGGAAGGCCGTGGCCTCGCACGCTTCGGGAAACGTCATCTCTTAGCGCGTATAGACGGCCGACTCGCGTAGCAGGACGCCTTAGCAACGCATCATGGTCACCGAGGCACAAGCAGCAAGGGTGCGGGCTTTCTCTTGGGATCTCGCCGTTGCGACAGTCACGCGCTCGTTTTGCCAGTCAGAGCAACGCCGGAGCAGCGACGGCGACAGCGACAGGAGCAGCAGCAGCAGCAGCGACAACGGTAGCCTCGTTGATTCATTCTGCGTCCTCCTCACTAGTAGCCGTCCTTGCGATCAGTCTCACAGCCGCGTTAAAGGCGGCATCGTTAAGAACAACATGTTCTGTTTCTGACACCACGTCTGTTGCTGCTGCTGCTGCTGCGAAATCCCCCAGATCCTCCCCTGCTGTGAATAACAGGAAGAGAGCACTGCACGAAATCCCGCGCTTCAGGCCAATCCATGCCGTCAGATCATTCGTAGTTCATGCGCACCGTCCGATCAAAATTTCCGGGTTTTCAAATTCGTCATCCCGCGTTATCGTTCTAAAGAGACGGATCAACAGAAGCCGTCGAGCAGCAATCAGTGAGCTGTTGGGTGAAACCCTAGATTTGAGAGCATGTAGGTGGAAAGGCCTAGATTCAAGAACGGTTGGAGAAGAAGCCCTAGATTTGATAAAAGGTAATCGGATAGGATACACGCATGGTGTCAGGAGATGGGGTTTGTATAGAATCTGGTTACCAGCAGCACGGAGTTCACCAGCAGAATTACCCGCACGATCGTTACCAGCAGAATTTACTGCGCACGAATTCCCAACGAAACCAGTATCGATTGCTCTCAATTCTAGCTCGTCTGCTGCTTGCGCAGCATTTTCTTCTAGTTTTTCCCATGCGCACTCGCTGCATTCCACTCCGTTCAATCGAACGTGCTTACATCGAAGTTCTCTGTACGGCCAGCGGCGAGGGCCCGTAGGTGGTTCGTTGGGCTTTCGTGTGGGTAGGAGCAGCCGAGGATTGCGCACTCTAGTGCGTGCCTCTGCTGCTGGCGCAGGCGCAGCAGGAGCAGCAGCAGCAGGGGCAGGAGCAGCAGCAGGGACAGCAGGCGCAGCAGGGGCAGCTGGAGCAGCAGCAGGGGCATCAGGAGTAGCAGGGACAGCCGCAGGGGCAGCAGGAGCAGCAGCAGGAGGGTCGGGAGCAGCAGGGGCAACAGGAGCAGCAGCAGGAACAGCAGGAGCAGCAGCAGGAGCAGCAGGAGCAGCAGCAGGGGCCGTACCCTTCTTTCTCAAATTCCCAAATCCCTTCAACCAGATGCCTCCTCTGTCCGATATCTTCACGAAGCTTCTCAGAAAGGCCATGGCGGCAGGGAAGGTGCCTCTAGACTGGCTGCACCACCCTCTCTCTCCCGTGCTGCCCGCGCTGGTGCTTATAGCGGGGGCCATCTGGCTGCTGGCGCCGCTGGTGAGGCTGTGCAGGAAGGTGATTAAAAAGAGCGACGCCAATTGGGAGGAATCGCGGTCTCGCCACGTGATGGTGTCGTATTTGCGCCCGCTCATCCTCTGGGGCTGTGTGCTCGTGCTCTGCGGGTGAGTGGCTGCTTGATTGCCCCCTTTGTCGCCAATGCTCGCCTTCTCCCCAACAATCTGCCCCAGAAGACTGCTTTGCCTTGTACCTCCAAACTCCCTGCACCCTCTTCCTCCGCACTCCTCCCCTTCCTCCCCCCAAACCCCCCTCTCCCTCTACCCGCGCAGCTGCTTCCAGCCATTCTCAATGCCCACGGAGGCGGGGCAGCTGATCAAGGACCGTTTTGTCAACTTCCTGCGCTCGCTCTCCACTGTGCTTGTCTTTGCCTTCTGCACCGCCAAGTGAGTGGCCTGTGGCGCCCCTCACCCCATGCCACATGCTTCACCCATATGCATTGCCCTCACGACTTTATTTCCTCAACCCTCTTCCCGTCACTGCATTGCCTCGGACCCTCCACTGTTCCATTCCGAATTTTCCTGTCTTTTATCTTCCTTCTCCCTCTCTCCCCACGTCACAGCCTAACTCGGCAGATACAGAAGATGATGGAGAAGCAGAGCAACAAGGAGGAGACCCGAAATGTGAGTCACCCACTCGCCCTGCCTCTCGCCCACTCGCCCTGTGACCCTTCGGTCTCCCACTGGCCCGCAGGCTAACAGTAAGCGTCACGCTGTCTTACCAATGCTTTCTCCTTTGGTGCACACACACGTGTGGGTGGCAGGAATGACGTGTGTATTTGCCTGTTACCCTGCCGATTGCCCGTATTCTGCCCCATTTCCCCTGCATTTCACCCCCATTTCCTTCGCCTGGTTCAGGTGGGAGTGCAGTTCGTGGGCAACACGGTCTACACGCTCGTGTGGGTGGCGGCGGTGTTTCTTTTTATGGAGCTGCTGGGATTCTCCACTCAGAAGTGGATCACCGCTGGAGGGCTGGGGACCGTGGTGGTGACCCTGGCAGCTAGAGAGGTGTGTGTTGAGAGATTAGTGAGGAAGAGAGGTGAATCGTGGGTGACATACCGGTACTAAAAGTCATCTTCCTCTTCATGAAGCTGCCTGGATTCTCCACGCGGAAGTGAATCACAGCCAAAGGGCCGGAGACTGTGATTGCCACTCTGGCTGCTGGAGAGGCAGTGCAAGGAGGAGTCGAGAAACTAAAGGTCTGTCTGGAGAGACGTTTGAGACCATCCATCATCACTCATGGCCGCAACGTAGTCAATATCTCACCTCACCTCCACTCCACCCATTCCCACCCGGCATGACCCACACCACCAACCCCCCCCTCCCCCCATCAGATTGTCACCAACTTTCTCTCCTCCATCATGATCCATGCCGCTCGCCCCTTCATGGTCAACGAGTGGATTGTGTGCCGCATCGACGGCCAGGAGATCTCGGGGACTGTGGAGGTGAGCAGTGGGCAGAGCTGTGGCTGTCAAGGAGGTGCACTGAGTGACTGAGGAGGTAGGATGGGAGGGGAATGTGGTGGTGCACACAGTCGTGTGGGGCAAAATGCATACTTGCCTCTTCATGGTGAACGAGTGGATCGTGTGCCGTATCGACGGCCAGGAGATCTCGGGAACTGTGGAGGTGAGCAGCGAGCAGTGAGCAGTGCACATGGTCGGGTGGGGCGTGGCTCATTTTCAGTAGTCCCTTGATGGTGAACGAGTGGGTTGTGCGACGCATCAGTGGGCAGGGGATCTCTAGGACTCATATTCTTTTTTGGCCCAACAAATTTCAGGACGGGTTTGCTCTGCACCTCCTCGTCCCGATTCCACCTTCTTCCCCTTGTCCTTCTCTCCTGCTCCCTGCAGCACGTGGGGTGGTGGGAGCCGACTCTAGTGCGCGGTGACGACAGGGAGGCGATTCACATTCCGAACCACAAGTTCAGCGTGATTGTCATCCGCAACATGAGCACGCGCAACCACTGGCGCATCAAGATCTACTTTGGCGTCTGCCATCTAGATATCAACAAACTGCCGGTGAGACAGAGTGTTCAGGGTTACATCCAATGAAGGACCATTCGAGACAGAGTGTTGTTTCATTTGAGGTGACTTCTGAGTCAACCCAAAAGGCACCTGTTCTGTTACTTGCAACATGAGCACGCACAACCACTGGCGCATCGAAAGATACTTCGAGATGGTTTCATGATCTCATAGACTCGTAAGCTTTTTGTTTCTTTCCCCTTTCCCCATCCGTGCAACTTCCCATCCATGTGCACATCCACCCCCCATCAGGACATCCTGGTGGCGATGCGCAAGTTCATAGCCAAGCACCCCATGCTGGAGCAGCGCCGTCTGGGAGAGACCAGTTGCAGCTTCGAGCTTTACCTACCTTCCTACTCTGCCCCTGTGCCCATCCAACCCCCCATCTTTCCAACCAATCAGGACATCCTGGTGGCAATGCGCAAGTTCATAGGCAAGCACCCCATGCTGGAGCAGCGCCATCTGCACCGACGTGTGTTTGTGGAGCGCATCGATGAGCAGCTGCAAGCCATCATGGTGGGTGGGGGGATGGGAGCATGCATGCAGGCATGTGTTGGGATGAGTGTATGGGCTGTTGGTAGTGTTTCCCACTGCCACCACCGCCATCTGCATGGACGTGTGTTTGTGGAGCGCATCGATGAGCAGCTGCAAGCCATCATGGTGAGAGGGATGGGGGGACGGAGCATGCAGGAATGCGTTGGCATGGGTGCATCGCACAGCCACCACCACTGGCAGCGCCATCTGCACCGGCGTGTGTTTGTGGAGCGCATTGATGAGCAGCTGCAAGCCATCATGGTGAGAGGGGGGTTGTGTTGTGGGGATGGGGGGATGAGGGGATGAGGGGACGGAGCATGCAGACCGTCTGTGAGGGATGGGACCAAGCAGGCGACCATGGTGGTCTGGTGCACTCTTGCTCCCCCCCACACGACACCACCACCACTATCACCACCAGCCTTTCTCTGGTTTCCACTCTCGAGTTCCTCCAGCACTCTTTTTATTGAATTTTCATTCGCCACTCATCCTCTCTCCATCCCGCCCTCTCGCTGCAATCCTCGCTGCATCTCATTGGACATCCTCCTACCACCCTGCGCTCACCTGCACAATTCTCCACCCCTCTGCACCGCTCTGCATGCAGGTCATGTGCTCATGCTTTGTCAAGACGCCCTATTTCGAGGAGTACCTGCGAGTGAAGGTGAGAAGGGGAATGGTAGGAGCAAGTGAGTTATGACCAGTACGAGCAGACAGACTTCGACCATGCATACAAGCAAGGGAGTGGTGCACAAGGTATCTTAAGACGACTTTAGCCACCTTGACTCCAAGGTTGATGAGATACTGTGGTTTGTTGCGTGGTCAAGGTCCTATATGACCAGGGGGGAACTCGAATTTCCCGCATTTCCACTCTTCATCCAACGTCCCAAACCACCCTTCCTTTCCCCATCGCTTTCATCTCCCAGGAGAACGTGGTGCTGGAGATGTACAAGATCATATTGGATCACGGGGCTCGTCGCACGATGCCCTCTCTGCTGTCCCTTCAACTCACATACCCTCCTTGCCCTTACCCCCCTTTCCCCAGGAGAACGTGGTGCTGGAGAAGTACAAGATCATATTGGATCACGGGGCACGCTTAGCAACCCCCATCCGCTCGGTGCAGAGGCTGTATGACAAGGGCGAGGCGGCACGGGGGGAGGGGGGGGGGGGAGGGGGGGGGTACAGATTACAGCCACAACTCTCCTTCATTCCCTCCCTTTCCTCTCCTTTCCCTCATCCCATGCTCCCTCTCCCCTTTGCCTCTTCCCCAGGAGAACGTCGTTCTAGAGATGTACAAGATCATTCTCGACCATGGGGCGCGCCTGGCCACGCCCATCCGCTCAGTGCAGCGGCTGTACGACGAGGGCGAGGTGGCACGGGGAGGGTATGGTGACGAGGACGAGTTTGACGAGGAGGAAGAGGAGGAGGACTACGAGGAGGAGGAGGAGGAGGAAATGCGGCCCCCCGCGCTGCTCGTCGCTGCTGGGCTGGGCGTCGCTGGTTCTGGATCGGTTGGGGGCGCGGGAGGGGGCGGGGGCGGGGGTGGGGGTGGGGGTGTGGGAGGGGGTGTAGGAGGAGGGGGACGAGGGGGGTCGGGAGGAGGAGCAGCAGGGGGAGGAGGGGCTGGTGGGGCTGCGAGGGCGCCTGAGAATGGGGCGAGAGTAGGGGCAGGGGCGGGGGCAGGGGCAGGGATAGGGGCAGGGGCAGGGGGAGGAGTGCTAGTAGGAGCTGGGAATGGGGTAGGCACGGGAGTGGGAGCAGGTGTGGGGGCAGGTGTGGGGACAGGTGTGGGGGCAACAGCAGGGGCAGCAGGACCGGCAGCAGCAGCAGGGGCAGCAGGGCAGGGAGGAGGGGAGGTGAATGGGCATGCGAGTGTGGGGCCCAATGGAGGTGCAAAGAGAGGCGTGAGTGGGAATGGTGTGCCTGGTGGTGCAGGCGATGCAGGTGCTGCTAATGGTGGCCTGCATCACTCTCCTTCTCCTTCTGCTGCTGCTGCTGCTGCTGCTGCTGCTGCTGGTAGTGGTGGTGGTGCTGCTGCTGGTGGTGTTGGCACAGCTGCCAGTAGTGCTGGTGTTGCTCCCCCCGCCACTACACATGCAGCTGCTCCCCCATCCTCCTACCCCCCTCTCCCTCCTTCCCCTCCTCAGTCCTCGCCTACACCCTCCTTCTCTCCTCCCCAAATCTCCTCTCCTCCGCCTCCCACATCACCTCCCATGCAGCAATCCACGTCACCTCCCATGCAGCAATCCATGTCACCTCCCATGCAGCAATCCACGTCACCTCCCATGCAGCAATCCATGTCACCTCCCATGCAGCAATCCACGTCACCTCCCATGCAGCAATCCACGTCATCATCCACACAGCCCTTCATCCCTCCTACTCCTCCTCCTGGCCCCCCATCAGCCCCTCCCCATGTCCCCCTTTCCTCACGCCCCCCCTCCCCTCCCCGATCACCTCCCCCTGGCCCTCCATCAGCCCCTCCCGCTGTCCAGCCCTCATCACGTCCTCCCTCCCCTACCCGATCACCTCCTCTTCCCGCCTCCCCATCGGCCCCGCCTGCCTTCCCTTCCCCTGCCCCCACCGTTTCCACTCAGGGAAGAGCCTCTGCCAACCCTGGCCCCCCTGCTCCCTACCCCCCCTCTGCTCCCCAGCCTCCCTTCGCTTCTCCCCAGAAGCCCCTTGCGAAGCCAGCTCCTGCTGCTGCTTTCAGCCCTCCTCCCTCTTCAAGCCCTCCTTCCTCCCCAGCTCCTCCCGCCTCAGCCGTCCCGTTAGCCTCCCCCGTTCCCCTGGCGTCCCCCTCTCCCTCCACCCCCACCGGTGCCAGCCCGCTAACCAGCGGCCCTCCTAGCAGGCAAGCAGCACCCACCACTGCTGCACCCAGTAGTGCTCCGCCAACCGCTGTTCCACCCACCGCTGTTCCCCCCACCACAGCCAGTCCTGTTGCACGGGCTCCTACTGGCCCACCTCCCTCTGCCGCTCCATCATTCTCTCCCACTCCTCCCACGCCCAATCCACCCACTGCTGCTCCTCCCACATCACCAACACCCAGAGGCCCTGCCAACCCACCTGGGAACCTCAGCAGCAGCCCACGGCAGCCCCCTGCTTCTGTTCCAGCACCCTCTGCCACTCCCCCTTCCTCCTCTGCCACAGCTGCACCTGCCACTTCTCCTACCTCGCCAGCTACAGCCGCTTCTGTCAATCCACCTTTCACCTTTGCTACTGCCCCTCGCTCTCCCGCCCCTGCTTCTGGTACAGCTGCCCCCCGCCCTCCTCCGCCCTCTGCTACAGCTGCTCCCATTTCTCCGTCTTTCCCCCCTGCTACAGCTACTACAGCTTCAACCCCCAATGCCTCTGGTGCTCCTCCCTCAACCACACCACAGACTGCTAGGACCTCGGTAACACCCAACCCATCAGCAGCAGCACCACCACCACCAGCAGTGGCAGCACCAGCATCTATACCACCACCAGCAGCAGCACCAGCAGCACCATCACAATCAGCAGCGGCAGTAGCACCATCAGCACTGAGTGGAGATGCAACAAGCGGAATGCAAGCAGCAGCGGGCAGAATGCAAGCCATGGCAGGGCAACAGGCAACACGGATGGCACCAGCACAGGGAGTAGCAGCTGATAGAGAAGGTGCAGCAGGGGGAGGTGCAGCAGGGGGAGGTGCAGCAGGGGGAGGTGCAGCAGGGGGAGGTGCAGCAGGGGGAGGTGCAGCAGGGGGAGGTGCAGCAGGGGGAGGTGCAGCAGGGGGAGGTGCAGCAGGGGGTGGTGCAGCATGGGGAGGGGGAGGTGCAGCAGGGGGGGTTGCAGCAGGGGGAGGTGCAGCAGGGGGGGTGACAGCAGGGGGAGGTGCAGCAGGGGGGGTGGCAGCAGGGGGAGGTGCAGCAGGTGGGGTGGCAGCAGGGGGAGGTGCAGCAGGGGGGGTGGCAGCAGGGGGAGGTGCAGCAGGGGGGGTGGCAGCAGGGGGAGGTGCAGCAGGGGGGGTGGCAGCAGGGGGAGGTGCAGCTGGTGTTGCTGCTGGCATCGGTGGAGGTGGCGGTGGTGGCAGTGGTGGCACAGATGGTGGTGGGAGTGGCAGTGGCGCTGCAGCAAGCAGGCGGGAAGTGTTGAGAGAGCAGCGTGCTGCTCGGTGGAGGGAGGAGCAGGCAAGGGGTGGTGGGGCCAGGGGTGTGCGTCCCTCAGCAGAATCAATATCATCCCCATCGGTTTCATCGGCATCAGCGTCAGCATTAAATGCCACATTCCCAGCATCAGCAGCATCACCATTGCCCTCAGCACCAGCAGCACCACGAGCAGCAGCATCAGCAGCAGAACCAGCATCGATCCCTGCACCTTCATCATCAGCATTCTCGTCACAAGCATTGCCATCACCAGCATTGCCATCACCAGCAACCTCCCCTTCCGCGCCCCCACCTCCTCCTTGGGACTACCTCAACCCCCCTCCTCCAACCACCTCCGCACGCTCCCCACCTGAACAACCACTGTCTTCAGCATCAGTACCGCCACCAATGCCAGCACCACCAATGCCAGCACCACCAATGGCACCATCATCGCCAGTACCATCGACACAACCACAATCACAATCACAGCTTTCATCACAAGGGCAAGCAGCATTACAACCACCATCGCAATTCCGTACTCCAACGATTGTGCCACCACCATCTCAGCCCCAATCACCCTCTCAACCACCCTCTCAGGCAAACCTTCCATCCACCCAATCGACATCCACCCAACAACCATTCAACCATCCACCATCCAACCAACAAGCACCCTCCCAAGCACAGGCAGGCTTCTTGCAAGCACAAGCATCTCTGTCCCCCCCTCGGCAGCTCTCCACCTCGTCCCCTCTACAAGCATCCCCTTTACAAGCATCCCAGTCTGGCCCAATACAGTCACCTGCATCTCGTCCCTCTCTCGGCACTCCTGCTCCCCCCCGGCCCTCCCATTCCCAATCCCAGCAGACCCAGCCACTCGCCCAACGGTCCTCTCCTGCACCTGCCTCCACTTCCCCTCCCCCTTCTCCCATTCCCTCCACTCCCACTTCTTCCTCTCCACCTCCCTCCTCTCCCCTTCCCTCCCCCAACCCCATCCTGCCCTCCACCTCCCCTCCATATCCTTTGCCCTCCTCTTCCTCCCTCACACCCTCGTCTACCTCCCCCTCTGCCTCTCCCCCTGCCCCCCCCCTCTGCCTCCCCCTCTGCCTCCCCTCCTGCCTCCCCCTCTGCCTCCTCTGCACCTCCTGCCCCAATGCTCTCGCCTCCTCCCCAACCACCAGAATTAACTCCCCCAAGCACGGGCACAGGCAATAGTATGGGTACAAGCACAGGAACGGGTGCTGGCACAGCCACAGACACACATACAGGCACAGCGACAGTGGTTCAAAGTGGGAGGATGATGATACAGGAACGGGAGGTGAAGGGGGGTAGAAATTCAGTGGAAGGAGAAGGAAAGGGGGAAGAAGAAGAGGAGGGAGGGAAAGGGAAGGATGGGGAAGGAGGGGAGGGGGAAGGAATGCAGCAGGCTATACTGTTCGAGGTGGAAGGGGAGGGGGGTTCTGATACTGATTGGAAGGCTGAGATTCAACAGGCACTGGGAATGGACGGAGGTGATGAGGAGGGCGAGGGAGGGGAGAAACAAGGGGGACAGTCAAGCCATCCAGAGAAGAGGGGCGGTGAGAGAGAGCAAGAGAGGAAGCTGAGTGAGGGTGGGAGTCGTGGGAATGAGGGGGGGGGGGGTGATTTGAGAAAGCGGGAGGGAAGTGAGGGTGTAGAGTTGGCTTCTGATGGGAAACCAGGGGTGGGAGCGGGGATGGGAGTGGAGGTAGCACCTGTGCCCGTCTTTGCTGCTGATGTCATTTCAGCTGGAGCAATTACACAGCCTGCTGGCACTGGTGATGGTGGTGAGGGGGGTGGTGGTGGAGGTGGTGGTGGAATTGGTGGGGATGGTGGGGTTGGTATGGGTGGTGGAAATAATAATCCCACCAGCACAATAGGCATGAGTGCTTCTGATTTTGCATCAGCAGGCGAAGCAAGGAGCATTGGTGGGCAAGTGTTGGCTCCAGGAGAGGCAGTGATGCGAGGTGGAGCAGGGGAGAGCAGACCACCGCTACTGGGAGCAGCAGCAGCTGCAATGATGAGTGAGGGTGGTAGGCCTTCAGCAGTAGCAGCAGCAAGCTTCTTGAGTTCAGATTCAGACACAGCTTCAGGGACTGGGGACGCTGGGGAAAGAGAAGCCCCTGGTGCGACCAATGCTACAAGCGCTGCCGGTGTAACTGATGTTGGAGGGGGCGATGGTAGTATGGGACTTGGAACAATGGGTGGCACGAAGCAGGGTCGATAAAAAATGTCAAGCAAAACACCTGGGATATATAATAACACCCGAGATCGTGGTTATCAAAAAAGGGTCAAATATTGTTGCACCTTTCAGGCAGTACCTTTATTATGAACATATTTCACTCTTCCATAAGTACCGGAGAAAGGCAACGAAATGCTGATATTGATATTTGATCCATCTACACCAGCTTGCGTGTTCACAAATGCTGGTGACGAAGGTTCCTCCGCCATTTTTCACTGACGTCAGCCGCCTTCACAGGTACGGCAGCTGGGGGCAGGAGCTGGAGCTCAGCTATTGGTTTGTGGTTGTGGCTGGGGTTCCCAATTTTGGCGAAAGCCCTTGCCCCGACAGCGCTGGGCAGGAAAGCAACAACACCAACACCAGGATGCGTGCCTGGAACATTCAAAGTCACTGGTCCATTGTACAGTAGTCCCGTTGCGTCAGCAGAGTCGATCGACGGCCAATGTTGCTCGATCTTGATGCCCCGTCCTAGTGTTGAGAGGCCAGCGGAAATCCAGGGAGCAAACTGCCAACAACATAAGACAAAATTCACAAATGTGATGCTGATCACGGAAGCCGACAGAGACTGTATTGGCGGAGAAACAGGGTTTTCGTGGCATTACGCGGAAGTCAGCCAGCTGGGGCTGTACACTGCAATGGCTTAAAGCCCAAGACCTGAATTACAAAAAAAAAATGGCAAACTGTGCACAGTTTGCCTACCGAACCCACAGTTGACCTCCCGAGCCAGGCTGGTAACCAGAAAACGTCGCGCCACAAAATGACTGAGTCGTAGGGCAGAACAGGTCTGCTTGGCGAGAGTCCCAACCACCATTTCCTGAAGGAGGGTGGGCTCTGCCTGTGCACAGTTTGCAAAAAACTGTAATTCAGGAATGCTTGTGCGGCTAGTACGCGAAACTCGTAGATCATAGGCCAGAGGCAATTTTCTACCTACCACACTTAGTTTACCCTCATCCCAAGCGTGAAAGGCGCGAAGCGCATAATATTCCACACCGCGGTGAAATGGTGAACCTCAATTCCCCTCACATCGTCCTCCCCGTTGACGCACCGTCGCCCCCGCTTCCTCTGTTTCCCCGTCGCCATTGCCCTCCCGTCGCCCTTACCCCTCTCCCCTCCCGTCGCTTCCTCGTCAACGTCGTCGAGCCTCATTCCGACGCTTTTTTCACCACTCCGACCACCCTCTTTTTCCGTTGTCGTGTCCCCACCACTCCCCACTCTCCTGACAGGCGCGCCCACGTTTCCTTACTTGGGCATCGCCTTTCCGCAAACATCGCATTTGGCCCTATCGCTCACGCTTTCCCGCAACGTCGGTCACGCTTTCCCGCAACGTCGCTCACGCTTTCCCGCACCGTCGCTCACGCTTTCCCGCACCGTCGCTCACGCTTTCCCCTTGTCGCCACTCACGCATCCTCCTGCCTTACCCCACTCCCGGGGACACCGTCGCTCGCGCCTTCCCCCGCCTTCTCTCACGCTTCCCCGCTCATCGCCCAGGCTTCATCCCACCCTCGCCCACGCTTCACCCCACCCTCGCCCAGGGTTCCCCCCACCGTCTCCCATGCTTCCCCCCACCGTCTCCCATGCTTCCCCCCACCGTCTCCCATGCTTCCCCCCATCGTCTCCCATGCTTCCCCCCACCGTCTCCCATGCTTCCCCCCACCGTCTCCCATGCTCCCCCCCACCGTCTCCCATGCTTCCCCCCACCGTCTCCCATGCTTCCCCCCACCCTCGCCCACGCTTCACCCCACCCTCGCCCAGGGTTCCCCCCACCGTCTCCCATGCTTCCCCCCACCGTCTCCCATGCTTCCCCCCACCGTCTCCCATGCTTCCCCCCACCGTCTCCCACGCTTCCCCCCACCGTCGCCCACGTTTCCTCCCACCCTCGCCCACGCTTCCCCCCACCATCGCCCACGTTTCCCCTCACCCTCTCATCCGCCCTTCATCTCATCCTCCCGTCCTCACATCCTCGTTTCCTCTCATCCTCCCGTCCTCTCATCCTCCTTTCCTCTCATCCTCCTTTCCTCTCATCCTCCCTTCCTCTCATCCTCCCTTCGTCTCATCTTCCTTTCCTCTCACCCACCCTTCCTATCACCCACTCTTCCTCTCATCCCCCCATCCGCCCCACCGTCGCCCACGCTTCCCCCCACCCTCGCCCACGCTTCCCCTAGACGGGACAGGGGAGTGGGGGAGGCGGGGCAGGGGGGGCAGGGGAGGCGGGGGGGTAGGGAGAGAGGGTGCAGGGATCCTCCTATCCCCTGTTCCACCCCCTGCCACACTTTCTCCTCCTGCCCTCCTCCCTTCCTCCGCATTCATACCCCTTCCTCCCTTTCTCCATCTCTCGCGTTGCGCTTTTTCTCCCCGCTGATATCTCTTCCCTTCCCATCGCGTTTGCGTCATCGTCGGTGGCAAGTACCGTCCGCCCTTCCACTCTCCATTCAGCCCTTTCTCCAAGCCTCTCTCCACCCTACCACTCTCCCACCCACTCTGTCTTTCATCCTCCTGCCCCTCCACCCTGCCGCCCTTTTTTTCAAGCTGCCACTTTCCGATCTTCCTGTCGGCCGCCTTTTCTGTCCGACCCACTTGCTACACCCTACTTGATTTCCTCACATCCTCCCATCCCCCCTTTCCCTTCCACGCCTGTACACTCATCGCCTGTTTGTATATTCAAGGGGATTGCCCTTCGATTGTCATTGTTTCGTACAGTCCTTCCCAGCTGCTTCAACATACCGGTACCATATGACACATCAAATTTCATGGTTGATGATTAGTGGTATGACAAATAGGTAACCATGCCATGTATTGATGTTTATGCGTCTCATATTAAAACACTGTCGGCTTCAGAGCAGGGTTGCACATGGCCACAAAAAAGAAGTGGAACAAAGCATATAAAAGTTGTCAACAGTGGACTATAGGCACAATGCACAAAGCTAGGAGGTGGTAACTTTTCATCACATTAACTCATGGTGGTGGGCACCTGTCCAAGCATGGTTCTGTGATAGAACGGGGATGGAAGAGGGGGTATGGCAGATAAGCGAGGGTTGGATGTGGACGGGGCAGAGGGGTGAGAAAAAAAGGGGAAAGAGAGTGAAGACGGATGGGGGAGAAGAGAGTGAGGGGGTTGGGAAGAGAGTGTGCAGTGCGCAGGGGAGAAGAGAGTGTGGGGGGTGGGAAGAGAGTGTGCAGTGCGACGGGCGAGAACAGAGTGAGGGGGGTGGGAAGAGAGTGTGCAGTGCGTAGGGGGGAAGAGAGTAAGGGGGGTGGGAAGAGAGTGTGCAGTGCGCAGGGGGGAAGAGAGTGAGGGGGGTGGGAAGAGAGTGTGCAGTGCGACGGGCGGGAGGAGAGTGAGGGGGGTGGGAAGAGAGTGTGCATTGCGTAGGGGGGAAGAGAGTAAGGGGGGTGGGAAGAGAGTGTGCAGTGCGCAGGGGGGAAGAGAGTGAGGGGGGTGGGAAGAGAGTGTGCAGTGCGCAGGGGAGAAGAGAGTGTGGGGGGTGGGAAGAGAGTGTGCAGTGCGCAGGGGAGAAGAGAGTGTGGGGGGTGGGAAGAGAGTGTGCAGTGCGCAGGGGGGAAGAGAGTGAGGGGGGTGGGAAGAGAGTGTGCAGTGCGCAGGGGGGAAGAGAGTGAGCAGGGGGGAGGGGAGTGAGCAGGAGAGAAGAGATTGCGGGTGGGCAAGCGAGTGAGCGAGGGGGAGAGCGTGAGATGGAGAGAGTGAACGGCAATGGGAGGGGTAGTGGTGGCGACGGGCGGGAAGCGAGTGCGACGGGCGGGGGAAGCGAGTGCGACGGGCGGGGGAAGCGCGGGCGGGGAAGCGAGTGCGACTGGCGGGAAGCGAGTGCGACGGGCGGGGGAAGCGAGTGCGACGGGCGGGGGAAGCGAGAGCGACGGGCGGGGGAAGCGCGGGCCGGGAAGCGAGTGCGACGTGCGGGGAAGCGAGTGCGACGGGCGGGGAAGCGAGTGCGACGGGCGGGGGAAGCGAGTGCGACGGGCAGGGGAAGCGAGTGCGACGGGCGGGGGAAGCGAGAGCGATGGGTAGAGGAAGGGAAGGCGACGGGCGGGAGAAGCGAAGGCGACGGGCGGGAAAGGCGACGGGAGGGGGAATGTTGCGCGACGGGGTGGGGGGAAGTGAAGGCGACGGGGGGAGGGGAAGTGAAGGTGACGGGGGAGGGGAAGTGAAGGCGACAGGCGTGGAAAGCGAAGGCGACGGGCTGGGGTCCAGAAGGCATCGGGCTGGGGTCTTGGAGGCGCCATCCCACGCGGCTGCGATGGCGAAAGAGATCGGAAGCGTGGGACCTAGGGTAAGCGAGGGCGAGGAGAGAGGTTTACGCTTGGGCGAAGGGTCACGGTACGATATTCGCCGAGAGTTTACGCATCAGTTGCACCCTAAACCTGCATTTCGACACGAGCGAACACTATCTTTGTGCGTCGTCATCGAGATCCGCGTTACCCACATTCGTAAGCCGCCTCTGATTCCTCGCTATGTCTACAGGTATGCTATATGCCTAGTTATCTGCGTGCTATCCCAAACTGTGCACAGTTTGGGATGGACGCCCTTTTCTGGTTGTTGTGTGAGGGACCCCACCCATCACTCGAATTCTTGTACGCGACGGACTTTTGTCGCAATTTGGTTTCGCGAGTGAAAGTGGTTCGCACCCCAACCGAACCTCCGTCTGCCTGCCTTCCGAACCTAATTTTTCCCGTTGACTTCCGTTGAGTAATTCAGGTCTTGGGCTTTAAGTGCTTCCTCTTCATGCCACATAAAACCATACCACGTCAGCGTTCCGCAAAGCCCAAGGGCGGAGCGCAGGCAAGGCAAACCCGCCACCCTCGAAAAGAAAGTGCTGCTTTCGGATCCCGCCACGTCCTCCCTCGCCCCCGGAACCAACCACTTTCGCCCGGCGAGTGACGCAACCAGCCCAGCACTCGAACCTTCCACGTGGTCCCTCATAACCACGCGCTGCGGGCCAGTGACGCCATTTACATCCCGGATCTCACCG